CTTCCTTCCTTCCTTCCTTCCTTCCTTCCTTCCTTCCTTCCTTCCTTCCTTCCTTCCTTCCTTCCTTCCTTTCTTGTTTATTTATTACAATTTATTCACTTTGTATCCCAGCTGTAGGCTCACCCTCATCCCCTCCCAATCCCGTTCTTCCTCATCTCCTTCTATGCCCCTTCCCCAATAAACTAATAGTGGAGGACCCCCTCCCCTTCCATCTGACCCTAGCCAATCAGGTTTCATTAGGACTGAATGCATTGTCTTCCTCTGTGGCCTAATAAAGCTGTTACACCCCCCCCCCCCCCCCCGCCCAGTGGGAGGTGAGCAAAGAGCCAGCCACTGAGTTCATGTCAGAGACAGTCCCTGTTCCCCTTACTAGGAAATTCATTTGGATACTGAGCTGCCATGGGCTACATCTGTGCAGGGGTTCTAGGTTATATCCATGAATGGTCCTTGGTTGGAGTATCAGTCTCAGAAAAAAGACCCCTGTGCCCAAATTTTTTGGTTTTGTTGCTCTCCTTGTGGAGCTCTTGTCCTCTCCAGGTCTTACTATCTCCCCCTTCTTTCATAAGATTCCCTGAACTCTGCCCAAAATTTTGGCTATGAGTCTCAGCATCTGCTTTGATACCCTGCTGGGTAGAGTCTTTTAGAGGCCCTCTGTGGTAGGCTCCTGTACTGTTCCCTGTTTTTCTCCTTCTTTCAATGTCTATCCCGTTTGTCTTTCTGAGTATTGATCATCTTACCCAGGGTCCTCCTTCTTGCTTAGCTTCTTTAGATGTACAGATTTTGTTCTGTTATCCTATATTATATGTCTAATATCCACATATAAGTGAGTGTATACCATGTGTGTGTTTCTGCTTCTGGGATACCTCACTCAGGATAATCTTTTCTAGATCCCACCATTTGCCTGCAAATTTCATGATTTCCTTGTTTTTAATTGCTGAGTAGTATTCCATTGTGTGAAAGTACTACTATTTCTGTATCCATTCCTCAGTTGAGGGACATCTAGGTTGTTTCCTGCATCTGGCTATTAGAATGAAGGTGCTACAATCATGGTTGAGCAAATGTCCTTGTCTTTTGGATATATGCCTGTCTATCTTGAGGTAGCACTATTCCTAATTTTCTGAGAAAGCGCCAGATTGATTTCCAAAGGGGTTGTACAAGTTTACATTCCCACCAGCAGTGGAGGAGGGTTCCCCTTTCTCCACAGCCTCTCCGGAATGTGTTGTCACTTGAGTTTTTTATCTTAGTCATTCTGATGGTTGTAAGGTGAAATCTCAGGATCATTTTGATTTTCATTTCCCTGATGACTAAGGACGTTGAGCACTTCTCTGCCATTCGATATTCCTCTATTGAGAATTCTCTGTTTAGCTCTATACCCCTTTTACAGAAGCTTTTTAGTTTCATCAGGTCCCATTTATTAATTGTTGATCTTAGAGCCTCTGTTGTTGGTATTCTGTTCAGGAAGTTGTCTCCTGTGCCAATGAGTTCTAGGCTTTTCCCAATTTTTCTTGTAACTGATTTAGTGTGTCTGGCAAAGTGTTTAAAGCCTTCATGAAAATATTCTTTGGTTGGTTGACATTGACACTAAGGAAGAAAGGGATGTGAAATTCTTAGCATTGACTTTTGAGACAAGTTAGGGGAAGGCACAGTTTATCTGACTATTTAAAGCTAGCAGCAGAGGCCCAGTTACGTGACACTGCTTGTGTACAGATAGTTTTGAGTTTTGGATTCTTTGTCTTTAAAATAAAACATTGAAATTTTACTTTGACTCCTTATAGTTGTAAAATCTGATAACTTGAGAGAGTTGGGAGACTTGATCCATTTTCACTATGTCCCTTCTTTTAATTCTCTCTGTTACTGGATCATTAGTAACCAGGTGTCCTACTTTACCTTCTGCTGCTGAGATAAACACCGTGAGCAGAATTTTACAACTTGAGGAAAGGGCTTATTTCAGCTTATGACTTCCCAGTCCCTCAAGAGAAGTCTGGGCAGGATCTGAGTCAGGAACCAAAACATAGAGGAATGCTGATTACTGGCTTGCTGTTCATAGCTTACTTAGCTTGGTTTTTTTATGCAGTCTAAGACCATCCGCCCACGAGTGATACCATGTGTAGTGGGCTGGGCTCAGAACACAAAACAACCCCCCCCCCCCAAAAAAAAAAAAAAAACAAAACTATTATAGACTTCCCTACAGGCCAGTCTGATGGTAGCATTTTTTCAGCTGAGGTTCATTCTTCTCAGGTGACCCTAGCTGTGTCAAATTGACAGAAAGCTGATAGCATGCCAGGTGTTTTAATTTATACTCATAGAACCATAATCTCTAGAGATAATGATGGGATATGCTTTATGCTCTAAATAAACTGGCACATGCTTATATATTTAGTTTTTGAAAAGTTCACTAGAATTGATTTCAATTGTTCATGTTACTTTAAAGATATTTATTCTTGGAATAGAACTCTAAAAATTTTAGCAAAATCTTTTATGAAACTGTTTATAAATTTTATCTACAGGGATTGATACATACTTTTTCTGGAAATGACATTTATTTATTTGTATGTGTTTGTGCATGTGAATAAATATGGTGGAAAGAGAGAACAGACCCCAGCAAGTTGTCCTCTGTGGTTCATGTGCTGCTTGCATATGCACACGTGCACATACACAGACAAATGAAAAAAAATTTGTAATAAATATTTCCACTGCTCTCTTCCTTCTGCCTTCTCCTCTGTCCTTACCATATTTTTGTTGTTTGAACTAATGCATCCCTATCCTATGAAGTCATTTGACCTATGTTGTTTCTACCTTTAATGTTGTTCTTCTCATCCATTTTTCCCTTTAGTGTATAAATCTTTTAAACATTTTCTGTTAAATAGTTTGATAACTGACCCTAGTGTCCAGTCTGCGAGAGTCTAGTGTGTGTGTCTAGCAGCATCTCTGTAGAAGATACACTTGGGATTCAGGTTGAGTACTAGCCCTTAAGTTCATTTAGAGCAGTTAATTATAGTAATATTTGTAAGGTGACTCTGCATGGAATAAAATAATTTTGAAGAAATCTGTAACCTTAATTTGCTTCTGTATTTCTTTGGACACATCTGGGTATTTTTTTCATGTTCTGAACTAAGTGGAATTAGTTATAGAAATTATGTTATTAGGTTAGTGTTATACTAAGGATTTTTATTTTGTCTTTGAAGGAGACACATTAAAATGGACTTCAATTCACAATTTCTTTTTTAACCATTGTACAATATTTTCTTTATATGGAGATAAATGTTAATATTTTTATCAGAAAAATTTGTTTTTATTAAAATATATGTCATTTATTTTGCTTGTGTCTGTATAATATGCACACTTGCTTTCTGTTCCTACAATCAGGATTAGTATACATACAAATATTAAAAGAAATGTATGGACCCAAAAAGCCTATAGACAGTATTTCTATACTTTTTGTCCTCTGTCATATATATAGAAAAATAAGTTAATCACTGTTTCAAAACCTATAATGAATGTTTTGATTGCATGTACAAAACTAAATGATGATTATAGTTTATTACGTACTAATTGGAATAGTGTCTGGTTTGGTTTTTGCAGTGCTGGGGATTGAACCCAGGCCCTTTCGCATGCTAGACAAGTGCTGTCCCATTGAGCTGCACTTCCAGCCTACCCTCACAGCATTTCTAAGCAGCTCTTTTTGTCTTTTTCTCCCCTCCCCATGAGTCATTTATTTTAGCCATAAATTTTGGGAACTAATTAGAATAAGATTTTTTTTTTTTTTTTTTTTTTTTGGGAGGAGAGGGCTGAGACCTTTCCTTGTACTTTTGAACAGTTAAAATCTTACATGAGGTCTTGCATTATAGTGGCTCAAAAAACATATAAGATAACAAAGTATTTATTTTTACTTTGGGGAGGTTTTTGTTTTTAAATTGTGTTAAAATTATTTACTCTTCCTTTTACTCAGTTTGTTTTCTTTTACAGCCCCATTGACAAACCTTCAGATTCTCTCAGTATAGGGAATGGTGATAATTCCCAACAGGTAAGATGTAGATAAAATGTCTTTTCATTTATCTGCTGTACCCTGAAAGCAAAGTATTGTATGCAAACAAATTTTTCAAACTGAATAGTATTTTAAATACTAAGACAATTTAAAATATCTAGATGGGCTGCTTCGTTAAATGTATCATTGTTAGCTTTCTTTCTGTATAGCGTGCACAGGGCATAAGTTAGTCCTTTCTTAATAAGTCAGAATTACATTGAAAACCACATACTGTTGTTTTAGTATCCTTCAAGTCTGCTACAGTTTTGATCCCATGAAAATGGTTTGCAGCCAGCTTGCCTTCTGAGTTCTTTCTTTGGAGTTGTTTATTTTGTGGGTGTGTTCCCAACCCACAGCTCTTTAGGGTGCTAGGAACTGAACATAAGTGCCGTGTGTATGCTAAGAAGTGAGCAGTTGCATTCCTAACCCTGTGACAAGGGTTTAAGTGCGTTTCCCTCTGTTAAATTTTTATTAGTAGTGTTGAGTTGATCAGAGCAGCATATTTTGGAGTCATCTCAGAATAATTTTTCATGGATTCCTTCATGAATGTTTGTAACATTAAATAAACCTGCAGTAATCTTAGTCATGCTTCTTATTTTCCAAAGACATTTTGTATAAATAGTGCACAGATACAGAGGAGGAGAAGTATGTTACTGTCCTTCAGAGCATGGAATTAAATACTTTAGAATCACATAAAAATTTACCCTCTTTGTAAGCATGGGTTTTTAAAAAGAATTTGGTCAGTTGGTTATTGGTTTTTTTATTTGTTTATTTTTGATACTGGGGTCGAACACAAGGTCTTATCTATGGCTATACGTCAGCCTTCAGAATTATTTTGTAATGACTGGGAAAACCTTGGTTAGATTTTCCTTTATTTTGATTAAAAACTAAAATACTAAAATTGTCTAAATTTGCAAAAGAAGATAGTCATTGGAGTCATTCACTCTCTTATTGTCAGTTTGAGCATTCCTGATCATTTATCTTTGCCCCTAAAGGTTTTCATTCTTGAACAGTGCTATATAATGAAATCCTAGACAGCAAGAATTAGAGGTGTGGTTGGGGAATTGGAAAGTACAAGAAGTAAGATTGTAAAGGAAAATGAGGCCAGCGTAGTCTTTTCAGCCACAGTTGTTTTTTGTTTTGTTTTGTTTTGTTTTTATCCCCCAGAAATATAAGTTAATGAATTGCTTGCTTTTCTGAAATTTTATACTTTGATTAAAATGTCAGGTGTTCTGGTTTGAAGACCACTATTTGAAACAATTTATTTGCAAATGTTTTAAATTGTGATTTATGAAGGTATAAACTTACATCGAATTCTTCCTTTTTTATTTTTTTAATTTAGATATCTAACAGTGATACGCCTTCACCACCACCTGGCTTATCAAAATCCAATCCTGTCATCCCCATCAGTTCATCCAATCACAGTGCAAGGTCTCCTTTTGAAGGGGCAGTAACAGAGTCACAGTCATTATTCTCAGACAATTTTCGCCACCCCAACCCTATACCAAGTGGGCTTCCTCCTTTTCCCAGCTCTCCACAGACACCCAGTGATTGGCCTACAGCTCCAGAACCACAGAGCCTCTTCACATCAGGTATATAACAACATCGCCTAGTGTTAGTAATCAGACTCCTAGAAACTGACAGATCCAGTGAGATACATTTTGGTTGATATATTTCTGGTTTTGTTTGTTTGTTTGTTTGTTTGTTTGTTTGTTTGGTTTTTCACTCAAGTCCCATTTTTTAAAAATATGAATTATGTAAACTACATGGAATTAGGTAGTATGTAAGTTGTGTTGCCTAGAAATTACTGTGTTAGAGAACAGATTTCTCTAGAAATAATTTGTTCCATTTTCTCAAATAAAACCTCACTGCTCAGCTTTATTTGTAATAACCAGAACCTCTAAACAACCCAGATGTCTATCAATGGAGGAAATTGTGGTACTTTTACACAATGGAATACTACTTAGCAATTAAAAACAAGGAAATCATGAAATTTTCAGGCAAATGGTGGGATCTAGAAAAGATCATCCTGAGTGAGGTATCCCAGGAGCAAAAAGACACACATGGTATATACTCACTTATAAATGGGTACTAGACCTATAAGATAGGATAAACATACTAAAATATGTACACCTAAAGAAGATAAACAAGAAAGAAGGCCCGGGGTAAGATGATCAATCCTCACTTAGAAAGACAAATGGGATGGACATTGGAAGTAGGAGAAAACAAGTAATAGGACAGGAGCCTACCACAGAGGGCCTCTGAAAGACTCTACCTAGCAGTGTATCAAAGCAGATGCTGAGACTCATAAACAAACCTTGGGCAGAATGCAGGGAATCATATGAAAGAAGGGGAGTTAGTATGACCTGGAGAGGACAGGAGTTCCACAAGGACCAAACATATCAGGGCACATGGGTGTTCTGTGAGACTGTTTCGCCAACCAAGGACCATGTATGGATATAACCTAGAATACCTGCTCAGATGTAGCCCATGCTAGCTCAGTATCCCAAGTGGGTACCCTAGTAAGGGGAACAAGGACTATTTCTGACATGAGCTCAATGGCTGGCTCTTTGACCTCCCCGAGGGAGGAGCAGTCTTGCTAGGCCACAGAGGAGGACATTGTAGCCAGTCTTGAAGATACCTGATAAAGCTAGGATCAGATGGAAGGGCAGGACAGCCTCCTCTGTCAATGGGCTTAGAAAGGGGCAGGGAGGAGATATGGGAGGGAGGATGGGGTTGGGAGGGTATGAGGCAGGGGGCTACAGCTGGGATACAAAGTAAATAACCTGTGATTAATATAAAAAAATAAAAATTATTAAAAACAAACAAACAAACAAAAAAAAACCCTCACTGCTCTGACTGGGCATGATGGCTCAAGCTTTAATCTCAGTAGAAGCAGGCGGTTTGAGGCTAGCCTTGTCTGCAAAGCGAGTTCCAGGACAATCTGGACTACACAAAGAAACCTGTCTAGAAAAACCAAAAGGAAAAAAACCATAAAACAAAAACAAAAAAACCCAACCAAACATAAACGAAGTCAGATTTGTGTTTATTTAGTCAAATTTAAGATCTCCCAGTTGCCTCATTGACAGATAAGTAATTTCTTTAATAGTAAAAAGTGTTGCTCCCTTCTTGCTATTTTATTTTTAAAAATTTGACATGTTTATATATGTATGAAAGTGATGCTTTTACCGTTTTGGAAATTATTCTTTAACTAATATCGAAAAGCACAATATCAGCCACATATAGGAACTTTGATGTCTTTTACTACCTCATATTCAGATGAAACTAGAGTGAAGGAAGGCTTGAGAATGGTTTCTATTCTCTTCCTTGAAGAGGCCTGGCTTTCCATCTTTGTCTTAATTAGTTTCAGAGGTGTCATACAGTCTTGGGGCACATTGACTGCCCAAGCAGAGCATTTGGGATTACAAAGCAGAGAGCACAGCACTTCTCACTCATTTGCTTATCAGTCTGAGAGATGGCCTAAATTAATCTGCAAAAGCTCCTGTGACATAGACAATTAAAAAATATAATTACATTTTAGTTAATTTGTATACAATATAAGAATAAGCCTTACTAGCTAAAATCTTTTAGACTATATTACTTTATTTAAGTGACATGCTGGCTTTGATTAGGAATCGTTGGATATAATCTGGATGGCAGGGAAGTTTTTCCTTGTGATCAGTACAATCATTCTGTATCATTCATGCCTTGAACTTAATAATTCAACAGTGAAATCACTACTAGAAATTTAGAAGATCCTGGATTAGTGATCTTGCATGATTTTTGCGTACTTGTTTTTCTATTGTAATATATCATTTTTAACATACTGTGAAAATAGACTTTATTTTTATCACTGTTTTTCTTCCCAACAGAAACAATCCCAGTATCATCATCTACAGACTGGCAAGCAGCATTTGGCTTTGGTTCTTCTAAACAACCAGAGGATGACTTGGGTTTTGATCCCTTTGATGTCACTCGAAAAGCCTTAGCAGACCTGATTGAGAAGGAACTGTCTGTCCAAGACCAACCTTCCCTTTCTCCCACATCTCTTCAGAACTCCTCCTCACACACTGCAACCGCCAAAGGTCCAGGCTCTGGATTCCTGCATTCCGCTGCACCTACAAATGCCAATTCTCTTAATAGTACCTTTTCAGTCTTGCCACAGAGGCTTCCTCAATTTCAGCAGCACCGAGCAGTTTATAATTCATTCGGTTTTCCAGGCCAGGCAGCCCGCTATCCTTGGATGGCCTTTCCACGCAATAGCATCATGCACTTGAACCACACAGCAAACCCCACCTCAAATAGTAATTTCTTGGACTTGAATCTCCCGCCACAGCACAACACAGGTCTGGGAGGGATCCCCATAGCAGGTAGGTTCATTTAAAGCCTCTGAGAATATGTATCACTCATGTCTTCAGGTTCTGGGTGGCTAGGGAGGAGCTACTGGGTAACAAGAGTACATAATAGTCTAAAAAATTTCTATGGAAAACCTTATATCTTTACCCTAAAAAAAGTTTTTTTTTGATTGAATGAATGCCTTGTAATATGGAGCTTTATAAGGATGGTGGAGTATTATACCTACTTATTGTTTGGAAGCATTTTATTTAATAGGGTAGTCACCAAGCCTTCAGATGATATGTAAACACAAAAAAGAAAAAGAAAAGGTAGGCTCTGAAATTATGGCCAACACCATAATAAAAATATCTTGTGTTATATTCTAAAAGTAAAGTGGTTAAATTTTTTTTAATCAAAATTAATGAGAGCATGAGGGATAAAGCCACTCTTAACTGCTATAACAATTACTTATTTTTGACTGATACATACGTGCACACATCAAAACTTGCCATATTTGTATATAGCTTAATACTTGAGAACTTCAGTTATCAATGTTTTATAAGCATATTACATACCACAGACATACTTTCTGTGGAAAATTGTTTAGGAGAGATTTTACCCTGTTTGTTGGCTATGTTTTTATTTCTGGGAATAATAAATTAGAATTAAGAAGGTAATACAAGTTTAATGCCAGATCACTTCTGGTTTTGTGCTGCTACCCTTGAAGGTTTCAGAGTTTTGGGGTTTTAGGATCCTATGTAACATTTTTAAATGAAGTATTGGAAAGGAGCCATTTTGGTTTACTGTTTTTATGAAATTTGGGCTTTAGAGATGATGTGATAAAGTTTGTTCCTCCTGATTCTCTTCAAGTAGAACAGAATAGTTCTCAGCCTGTTGTGTACCTACACAGTAATTTGTTTTCATCCTGTCATGGCCTTTATTGTGTGTCATGCCATAGTATTATTACAGTAATACATGTTTACAGTAAGGGGCCCATGGTCTTGTTTTCAGCAAGTTTGATAGGTAGACTTAGAACCATCAGTAGTCATTGGCTGTATTCCCTTAGTGCCAGCAACATTTCATGTTCTAGACAAGTAGCTAGGTCTCAGTTTGTTGTTATGGATGTAGTAAGTTTAGCAGTTAATTAGGGAACTTAACTTACATGCATTGGAGAGCACCTGCTGTAGTGACGTGCATATTTGGTGGGTTCATGATATTTGCTCACTGAATTATGAGGTCTCCGAGAAATTACTAGGTTGTAGGGAATCCAGAGTAGCATTTTTCAGTCCTTTTCTTATGACATTCACTAAGTCTTCAATTTCAATATACTTTTTCCTTTTCTTTCTTTCAGCATAGCATACTAGATTGGGTTTGCTTTCTTTCAATAATTTAAAAAGAAAATATTTTAATTTTTAATAATGTGCCTTTTAGCCAGTCTTAATATTAAAAGTTCCCCTTTAAATATGTCAAACATTAAAAAAAATGAGCCAATTATATTTAACATTTCAGTTACCTTTTACCCAACAATGAACTAGGTCATGTGGAGAATACAAAAGTATAAAATACAAGATTTAGTTTCAGGTAGTTCTTAGTATACTTGAGGAGTTAAAATGAAAATCTCATGTGAAAGTGGCTAACTGTATGTGTGGTCCTGAAATCTAAGAACAGCGTAGTTAATCACTGTTGGGGAGAAGTGATGAAGAGGTAGGAATTGATCTGTCATGTGGTTCTTGAAGTTGGGTTAGCAGCAAAAGAGAAAGTTCTTTTATGTTGACAGAAACTTCCTGAATAAAGGCATAGAGACAGATACTGTATGCAGAACTGTTTTCTATAACAAGAGGTGCTTTTTAAATTGTAGGGATCAGATAGACAAGGAGATGAAGAACTCCGAGAGAGAAAACAGTGTGTACTTGAATTTTGGACTTTTCTTGTAGCCATACTTACTTGCTATCCTTGTTTGACTCACTAAGTGTCTATCTTTACCAGGATGTCTGTTCTTCCAGTTTCTGAGTCATTATCAAGAATGTTTCCAGATGTTTCAAACAGTAGATATTTTGGATTATTAGCAATGAGATATCTTTGAGTTGTTTAAGTGTAGGCCTTTTCATGTTAGGTTTTTAGGAATCCTCAGCTAAAATAGATACTTAAATGTAGCATTAAATTAAAATTATAATTTTATTCTTTGTTTTTTTCCTCGCTTTGCCTATACTCAACCACAGAGAATTTAAAACTTTTTTTCAGAGATGCTAAAAATGAAGTCACCAGCTTTAATTCGGAGTTACTGTTTGGTGTTGGGTGGGGAAAGTTAATCCAGATTTTTGATTTTTGGCCATGATTCTTGCTTGATATTTAAATGGTGACTTGTAACCAAACTTGTTATTAGATTATTTTTATAGTATTGAGGACTAGAAGAACTTAGTATTAAGTTTTTAGTATAGAAAAACTATTTAAAATTGTTAAGAGTCACACTAGAATCCTGTTGAAATTAGTTAACATTTGACAGATGTCTCAGAAAGTCAGGGTACTAATAAGCCTTAGAATAGTTACATCACTGTAACTTGATGATTTAGAATTTTCAGTAACTATTAGAAATGAAAAAAAAATCTGAAAAGCTCTGTGTATTTCTAACACATCTAATTTAAAGCAGACTACCTAGGAAGTGTCTGTCTCCCTCAAGTCTAGATGTGTTTGAATGGGATGACTGTGAGGAACTCAACTTTGCCTCCTCTGTAGTCTTTATGATGCCCTGTTCAGCAGAGCTGCTTATTAACGCTTCATTAGTGGAGACTTCACCCTGTTTGTGGGGCCTGTTAAAATACACATACTTCAAACTATCCCCACCCTAGGAAAGAAAGGTACACATACTTACTTTCCAGCTGTGTAGAGCAAAACAGGGTCCTGACCTGGAGGAGCAAGTCAGGTGACAGCCACCATGTCATGCAGATACACATCTATTTACTACATATTTGTATTTACAGTTTTATTGGTTTATTTCAGTGAGTTATAAAAACACTGATATATCTGAAACCTATCATGGGCAGAACAGTTGCCAGACATGTGACAGAAATTCAGCTTCCGTTCCTGTGTCTCACCGAAGATATCTTTGTGTTTTAAATTGGTTATTACTTTAGTATTTAAGTACTTTTAGCAGTGTTGTCTGAGCTTGCGCATCTGGTTTGCTAAGTTCACAAGGTTTTTGGAATATTCCTGCTGAGGAATTTTGGTTAATAAGTAGGTAGAAGGAATTCACTTTGATATGTTTTTTTATTTAAACCATGTACCTTTTTTCTCCAGCAAACTTAAATAATTTATAGTTGCATGTGTAGTTAGTAAGCTAGGGTCACAGCCCAGATCACAAAATCAGTAAGGGAAATGTTTTTCCTTACAACGCTGATGCTCTCCTTCACAATTGAAGACCAGTGGTATGTGCTTCAACTGGCTTTCTCCCAGTAGTACTTGATGTTTGCTCTCACATACTTGTAAATCCTTTTATTTTTTTATCAGTATTATTTCTTCATGAGACAAATTGGCCAGCTTAGGCATATAATGAATACACAATAAATGAATACAAAGACAGTAGAATGATGCTTATTAACTTGAAGATCAGTCTCTTGCTTAGGTCCTTATTGCTATCAATGTTCTCACCAAGAAGTGGAGTTTAAACTTGCTTTGGCACAGCCTGCTTGTTATGTTCTTGAGGGATTGCTAATTGAAATAACCTGTTCTATGGATTGAAAGACTTTTTCTGCAGTTTTGTCAGTTAAGCTGTCTTTCCAAATGTAATTTTGCAGATTTATTTTTCAAAGAATTTTTGCTAAAATGTTTTTATTACATAAAGCTGAAAATTATTTGGAAAACAAACATTAGTTAAGTGTAAGCCTATAAGCAGTGTTCTTTCAAGATACTACTCAAAAATATTTGAAATTGTTTAGGCTTTGGATTTCTCATGTTTTTGTTAATTCAGATTTCACTTATCAGAGGGTGTTTTTCTTTAAATTTTGTTTCTATAGTAACTTTTCAGTGACTGTTGAGTTTTGTGTCATGTATAAAGTAACTTGCAGTGAAATAATTATCAATTATAATTAGAAAAACTGGTCTCATTCATGTACGGTTTTCTGACTAGAAGTAGTCATCCTACTTTTCAGTCAATTGGATCATTGTACTGTTAATTTTTTACTATTTTCTAATTACTTCAAAAGTACATAGTAAATTTCAAATGCTAGATGTTAATCAATTAATAATAATTGTATCTAGTATTTCATTTTTTCCTAATATTTGACTTATGTCTTTGAAACATGGATTTATAATTTTCCTCTTTTAAAATCAGTTTTCTCTCCTGTAAGTCAAGTTTCAAAAAAATTTTTCCCCAAACTGTATTTACTGCTAAGGAATATTTGTTTAAGGGGTCCAATTGGCTTGGAAAAGAATGGCTTTCCTGGTCTTTATCTTTTTTTTGGTTTTGTTTGGTTTTTTTCTTTATTTATTTTTAGTGGTATATTTTTAATTTAAATCTATTATATTTGATTTTACCTTAAAATAAGAGTGTGTTAAGAGTTTACTTTTTAGGTACTTAAGTATATTTTAAAATTCATGTGTTGTTTCACACCTAGATTCCAACCATTAAGCATGTATTTTATATATGTATCAATATTCCAAATATTGAAATCATTTTTAAAGGGACTGTTAACAAATCTAGTCACCCGTAACTAGACCATGACTGACTTTTCCACAGGGGAAGAAGAGGTGAAGGTTTCGACCATGCCACTGTCAGCCTCTTCCCATTCATTACAACAAGGACAGCAGCCTACAAGTCTCCACACTACTGTGGCCTGACAACAGATCTGAAAGGAAAGGAGAGGATTAGACTCGGGGTGCTTGCATGGGCAACTGGATTTTTGCATGGTTCCTCTCTGACTTCATTTAATGTATACACCCACAAGAGCCAATATAAACGTTCCTCATGCGACAACTAGCGTGTACCTCATAGTTGCTAAAGTATTTCTTCATTGGGCCTTTAACATAATTTATTAGCATAATAATTTTGGCATTGTTTCTCATGAGTGATACTACTTTTAACTCATACAAATAAACTTAGAGTATTAATTAAGATCCCAGAGGAGATTAGCTAGACCTGTTCTTGTTTTGACTCTATTATTGGAAATATACAAAAGTAATGGTAGTTCTTTGTTTTTTGGTTTGTGAAAAAAAAAAAATGGTAATATTCTAATCTACTCCAAAATTTTTGAAACATTAAGATAATGTCTATTGCATTCTTGGAATTTTTGAAAAGAAAGAATACATATAAAACAAAACTGGTGGTGTCATTTAATGCTCAGAAAGATGTTGTCAGCTGTTGTTTTTAGTTGCCTAGATTTATATCATATATAATGCATTACATGTATACAAACTGTTTTGTTCTTTCTCATTTGCACATTTGCACTTTTCTTTTTGAATGGTTGTTAATTATACATAGATGGTTAAAAGGTAATTATTATGGCCTAAATGCAATATAATCTCTTTTCTAATGCACTGCCTAGTATACCAGGAAATGCCTCAAAAACAGAACTTCAACTTGTAGTTGACTTATTAGAAACTTGAACATGGGGTAAACATTGTATGTAAGTAGTAGCCATAGTAGTGTAACATTTTTATTGAGCAAACAATAGTTCAGTGGAATCTGTTTGGAAATTTCATTGTTAAATAAATGATACGTGGTAAAAGTACCTGACCAGAGTAAGACTTAGAGTGGAAGAGAGAAGCTAGGTGTCCTGTAAAATGAGATAAGTATAAGTTGTCATAGATAACTTAGATAATCAGAGAACAGTGGAGTACTTTATAAGAGCATAATGTAAAGTGATGCTTTTGATAATGCAAAACTTATTGAAAGTTTCAAAAATGATAATAAAAAAATAAACTGAACTTAGTTCTGAGAAGTGGACAAAAGCTGATTTAAAAAAAAGAAAAATCACCATAATTTCCCTAAAAGCGTTTGGGGAGAAAGAGAAAGCCAGACCTCTTGAGATTTAAAAAAAAGAAAAAGAAAAAAAAGTATGCCTTAATTTGTTAAAAACAATATGAAAAGGGTACTGTGAATACCAAAAAACCTTAATATTATGTTAAATCTAAATTAACATAATATTAATCATAAACCACCTTATGTGAAGATGATGCTAATGTTTTATAGCATTGGCATTTCTCGGTTACTTTTGAATATAAAATATGGTAATTTCCTGTATATTACAAAATAAATGGCTTCATTCTGAGGTATAGTGGAATAAAGTGGAAATTTATTCTTAAATTTATTTATTTATTTTTAATTTGGTTGAGGTCAGAATTGACCAATTCTCCACCCATCTAAGTTATGTTTTTAGAGTTCATCGTAACTATCGATCTCTAGCTCTCATTTAAAAGTAAATTTACGGCAACATTATAAGAAAGCCACTGTCTTAGAAAATACGAGAACAATAGTGTACACTTATTTAAACTTCAGCCTTTAGTCATATCTTAATTCAGTTATGGTTTTCATTTGACTATAATGGATCAAGGATTGCTATGTGTTCTGTGGGGTTAGGGCTTTTGGACTGTGTTACTGGAAATCTGGCTTCTTGTAATGATGCTTACTAGACCTGAGCTTTCTGCAGCTTTCACGTGAGCCTTTCAGTGGCTCCCTTTTCGTACAAGGCCACAGAGGGTGACTGGCTTCCATTTACTCACTCTGTTGTGAGGGATGCTGTGAGCAAAGTTTCTTTCCTTCTCTTTCTCTGTCCTTTTTCATTCATGATTTGTATAGAAAATTTGTCCAAAGTTTTCCCAGACTTGCCCATCGTCCCCAGTAAGAGTTCAAGGCTATTTCTTCCCCCTGCATCCTTTCTTTTCCCTGTACTTTCTGACATACCATGAATTTGGGAAATGCTTTTTAGGCGATTAGAACTCAGCATTACAACTTTTATGTAAAATGGTTAAGAATTTACTTTTAAACTGTGTTTTATTTTAATTTCTAGACCCCATTAGGCCTCACCTTTTTGCTTAATATTAATTTTGCTTAATGTTTTTTAGACATCTTTAAAGTTATAATTTCCATTAAAGGATAGAAGAAATTTTGCAGCACATAAAAATACCATTTTATGTGGTGGGCAAATTTAACTAAAATGGTGGAAACAGTGAGAAATGATAAGAAACTTCAGGTGTGTCTGTACATTCTTGTACGGTGCATCTTACACTAGCGTACTTCTTTTCTTGACCATTATAGGTGACTATTTTCTTTAACACAGGAATTTTTAACCCGGAGTCCCAAACTCTTGGAAGGTATATGTGAAATGGTGTGTGTGTTCATATGCATGCCTGAGCACCCACTCGCATATCCAGGTGCATTTATTTGTTGATTTTCTAAGGAAGATCCATAGTTACTAGATTGATAAAGAGTTTGGTGACATTCTCCCTCTCAAAAGGTTTCAAATGGTTAAGAAATGACTGCCATGAAATGCCTTTAGTCCCTGAAGAAAATAGAGTCCTACTCTGACTGACTTTTAGTTCTGGGATGTGAGGTGCTCTTTTGTTTTCTCAAAGATCTCAGTAGAAAATGTTTTGATAAATAATGATTTCCTTTCCATTCTTTGTTTTCTTCAGGTGGTAGATACTTTGATATATTCTCCCTTTTATTTCAGCAAAGCGTTAATTAAATATTATTGTTCTATAAAGTGACCTGAGCTGGATCTTGAGTGATACAAGGTTGAATAAAGCATACAGACACCAGTCTAGTGCAGACTTATTTCACATTATTTTTATTATGTCAACCCTTGATTACTTTTATCACAACAGCCATGGCAATCCAGACTCGTCCCAGTACTCATCCCAGTAACTGCTCTGACAGTGGCAACAAAGAGTGTTCAATACTGATACTTCAATTCTAAAATGCAAATTGATTTGAAGGGAAGTTTAAACAAACAATAGAAAAGACACTCTCATCATTCTGTTTTATGAACGTGTATGCTCATGTCTCAGCACCCTGGAAATTGAATTATATAATTGTGTTTCTTTTAAGTAAGCAATTTTAGTGCTTTTTTTTTTTTTTTTTTTTTTTTTTGTCTGTGCATACTTGTACTGATATAGTTTATTTGTATGGTATTCCAAGAACCTTCAAAATAGCCACAAACTACTTCTGTTCTGACACAGGTTCATAGAGAGGTATACCAGAGACAAATTGCTACAAAAAGCCCAGAGAAACGAAAGCATATAGGAGCTTTTGAAAGCCTGTAAACTGAGCACTATTGTGTCTTTTGTGTAGACAAGGGGAAGGGGAGCTTTATCTTGTGTTGGTTTGTAGGGATTTTGATTTTTTCTTTATTTTTTTGATCATGAAGTTTGCTTAAATCTGTTTAATTGGCTTAACAGATGAAAACATAGTAGCCTTTTCTTTTTAATTGAAATAATAATCTATATTCTGTGCAATAGCCAAAGCCAGATATCTGGTGGTAAGCCAAGTACATCTGCTCATAGTACTGTCTCTCTTTCCTTTGTTGAGTGAACATTCGCTCTGAGCCTTGTCAGGTTGGGTAAGTGGCTATAGTGTGTGCAAGCATTCAAACATGCATGTTTAGTAATAAGTCAAGCACTGTGCTGATTTAAAAACAAAACAAAAAAAAACAACAGGAGTTAGAAAAGGAATTTATTTGCTAAAAAGCGGGATGTTGTTACTTTGAAGAGGACTCAACATTTAGATTAAAAGGGAAAGATGTTCCAGTAAAGGAGGACTGAGCCACTGACCAGAAGACTGGAAAATAGATGTTGCCTGACGTGTATGGGTCCAAGTAAGCTAAAGCCTTGAAAATGAAGAAGAAAAGCTTAGTCTCAGTGTGGTGGGATGGGTGCTGTAGGGTTTTGATATGCTGTAACACTATTGTAGCATTTTTAAGAGGAGTAATTTGGTAAGGCATTTTATTGCAGTTCAGGACAAATTAGAATCCCGTTTCAGGAAACCGCTGTTGGCCATTGCAAAAAGATGACTTAGATTAGAATAGGTTTGGTTAAAAATTGCATAAAATGGTTCAAAATAAGAGCTAGATTTAAAAAAAAAAAAAAAAAGATCAGGATCTCATTATTTGTCATTTATTGAACACTAACCTGTTCTTTTATGTGAAATCTAATCACTGACTCACCTTCCATATCACTCACAACATAGGTTAACAGAAAATATCTCACGGGCCTCCCAGCTGGCCTCAAGCTCACTGTATCGCTGAGGATGACTTTGTATTTTTGATCCTCTGCCTTCATCCCCACTGTTCTGAGACTGGGATTACAGGCATGTGTCACCATGCCCACTTTTATGTAATGCTGAAAATTGAGCCAGGGTTTCATGCTTTGCCAGCTGAGAGTTATGTCCTTAACCTCTCTCCCCACCTGTATTATTTTAAAAGACAGGCTCATATTTACCCCAGGCTGGCCACCTTCTATCTCTCTCAGCCTCTGGAGTGCAGGGTTTGCAGGTCTGCCCCAGGAGGAAAACAAATTTGTGAGATGAGGGTTCCTCTAGAGATTTGGGGTTTATTTATTAAAGAATTGTGTAAAGATAGGATTCTGCTTACAATTTTTTTTCATAGTTCTATTAAGTGTGCTTTTTAAATGATCTTTGGTTTAACGTAAAGTTCAGCTGTGGAAAAAGCAAACAATTAAGAGATTGACTAGTAAGTGAAGAAAATGAAAACACAAATAAATGCAAGATTACAACATTAAAAATATTCAGTCTATCCAGGTGTGCTGCCACACACTTTCAATCCCAGTGCAGAGGCAGGTGGGCCCCTGTGATGTCAAGGCCAGTCTAGCCTATATAGTGAGCTCCAGGACAGTTGAGAGTACATAATCTTGTAGTCAAGAAGAGGCCAGTAAGGCATTGCCTACAAGCCTGTGTTGTAAGTGATGTGCAAGGAGATTCAATGACTTTAGATTTCATGGCAAAGAATGGGATAGTGTTGAATGCATGACAAATAATGAGGTTATTATGATCAGTGTGATGACCTGAGTGCTAATTAAAAGATGAGAAACAGGAAAAGATAGTAGGTTATATGATTAGTAGAACAGTTAGCTTTTCTAACCCCTCTGTGTTCTCTACCCTATTTTCCTTCAGTCTTTGTTGAGAGTATAGAGTTGATTTGAATTGTAGAGAGTATGATGTTGCTTATAGAATCTCAAGTCTGGTTTCCTATAAGTTGAAATGATCCAAAGACAAACTTCCTGAAAGAATAATAGTAAAACATAAAAGGTGAGGGTGAGGTGAGTTGGGCTGGAGGAACCTCCGAATATGCAAAGGAATTGTAATGTTGGGGTCTGAAACATTAGGATGGACTGGATGTGAAGCATGGCAAATCTGTTGAAGAGCGCATTGCTGAGCCAGAGTTTCCCACTTAAGAAGGAAACTGGAAATTTCCCACATAGGCTTTCCACTCACAAAGGCAAATACTAATAAGCACAGTTGGATTAGGCCATTCTGCATTATGTGTATAGCAAGTTAAGAGCACGCGATGAAGTGGAGAGAACTTAACAGTTTCACCTTAAAAGACAAGATACTGTATGAACAAATCTACAAATATGGGGGCCAATATTTTTGGTCCTTACAATTTGTATACTTAGGTTGGTAATCTTTCCAAAATTTCAAAAAAGTTACTGAAGTGTAGTACAGCAGGAATGAAGGTGTGTGTGTGTGTGTGTGTGTGTGTGTGTGTGTGTGTGTGTCTTCATTTAATTAGTAGCAAATATCCTAGTTTGTAAGCAGCCCTAGTTTTCTGAAATGAGTATTTTAAGTCAACTGGATTTGTTGCCATATATGTAGGATGAGATGTCAGCTGTGACACATTGTTCAACAAAACTACATTTGTGAAACCATGCTGATTGCGAAAACTCTGTTCTTAGACTTCTTTACTAGTCTGTGTTCAGCTTCTGGGAGAATTAATGTTACTATCTGCCTTACTTTGATTTCTGTTGCTCCAATAAAATTCCTTGACAAAGGCAACTTAGGAAAAGGAGGGCTGTGTTTGCTCACAGTCCCAAGCTAAAGCTCATCATAAGGGGCGTTCCAGTTCAGGGACTTGTAACAGCTGTGATGTTTCATCAAAGTCTGGAAGTGGAGAGGAAGGAATTATTTGTGCAAGTTATGCCCCGCCAGCTTTCTCTGATTTACACACTCAGTACACAACTCGGGAAATGGTGCTACCTGCTTTTATACTAGATCTTCCCCATCAGTTAATGTGATCCAAATAATCTCCCATCGATGTAAGCATAGGCCAAACTGGTCTGGACCTACCTTCATAGAGACTCTTTCCTGGGTGATTTTAGATTTCTTCAAGTTGGCAAAACTGTGACACCAGTTTTAATTCCTAATCATTAAAAAAAAAAAAAAAAAAAGTACCTCTTACTGTTAGATACCTAAGGTGAGGTGAGCCTAAGCAATTTAAGCCACTTGAAGGCTTGACTCAAGTACCCAGAGTTTCTCTAAAATAGTAGGAAATGTTGACTTCAAGAGCTGATTCATTCTTTTTAGCTTCCTTTTGACCACTCTTTCTATTGATTTCATTCATAGGCCATTTCACACAATTTGGATTATGCTGAAGATCCCCAGCAGCTCTGGACTGACCTTAGAACAGTATTACCACGCCTGCTCCTTTTTAGTACTCAGACCTGCTGTTATGCTGTTAAACTCAAAAGCATTACCCCCAAAACTTCCTCCCACTGTATACTTTATAAGGCTTTTACATACCCATGACTTTCTTTTTCATAGATGTGAAATTCATGTACAGTAGAATTAACTAAACATATACAGGGCATTGGCCTGGTACTACTCTTTAAATTATCTCATTGTTAATGAGAATTTTGGCCCCTTTATTGTTAGGGCAATGTGATAATGGCTATATCTATATTCCATATTTTACTCAGTAAGCTAAAAAGGTAAATAAACATAAAACTTTAATACATTCATATCTTCTCACAATAGTACTGTTTCAACTTAAGCTTTGTTTGACAGTTTTCATTCCTACTGCCAACCCCTTTCCTCAACAAAACCCCAGAAGAACAAGGAGCCAAAGCCTAGAGATCTTTGCTTTTTTAGGAACGACTGCCTGCATGGTTTTGAAATTGTAATAGCAGTCTTAACTTGACGATACTTACTTAGCACCATGCAAGGAAGGCTTTACTTAGCCAAGGTGAAAAGTATACTGCTTGTTTTCTGTGTGTGCGTGAGGCTTGTGAGTGTCGTACCTGTCTGCATGTGCAGGTGGTGTATAAATCCTTTACCTGATGACTGTGGCAGAGAAAATATTCTCATGCTGTTTTTCTGTGGCTTCTTATGTATTTGTCCCTGCTGTGTTTTACTTCATTCGTATATTTGGGATTAATGCTATCTCTTAAAAATATTTTGTCTTTTCTTACGTGGTTTTGTTTTGTTTTGTTTTTGATACTGTTTAAATTCAGTGAAGTTGTAGAACATGTTCCCAGCTCACCCTGATGACAGGTTTTTTTTTGTGTGTTTTTTTCGAAATAAAGATTTTTATAACCTTTTCTCATCAAAGTTTACTACTAAATAAGTCCATCCCATGTCACTCTTTAGAAAAATCTTTGAAAAAAATTTTGAAGATTTATATTACAAGCATGAGTTCTGATAGGTAGCATAATCTTTAGCAATCTTCCTTGTAAGGATCAAATAATAATCCAGTCTCAGAAGGATTTTTTTTTTTGTAGTCACATTCAAACACCAATTTAGTGTTCCTTTAGTCCTGTCTGTATTATATTTTTTTCATGTATACAACTCACCAGAGGAAAAAATACTAAGATTCTGAATTTTCTTTTATGCATACAACTCACTGGAAAGAAAGGACTTAAAGATTCTGGAAGTGTTTCCTCACTAAATGTGTGTCTTGCAGTTTAACTGTGCTAGAAGTTTTCTCGAGTCAAGGGTTTTCAGCTGAGTCAGTA